ATAGGGATAAAGGATATTTGAAGGTATAGATGCATGATAATAAAGTAAAAATTATAAATAATCGAAATAGTGTAGAAATTTGGCGAAGAAATTTTTAATTGGAAAAGAATCAATATAATGCAATTTTTCATAAAATTAAAAAAAAAAAATTAATAATTTTGGAAATCTCAATAATATTAACATTACATGCGATTAATCGCACATAGTAACAAGATTAATTGTACACTCGTAAATTTATTTTACCGTATAGAATTGGATGATTCATTTTATCTCTTACAAAAATTTTCTTATTCTTTTCAATTCATTTTAAATTTTTAAGGAATAAAATATGAAATGAAAACATGAAAAATTTTAATCTCTAACATCGGAACTTAAAAAGTACGAATGTATTTTAAATAATAAGGAACCAATTATATTTAATTAAATAATTGATAACGACAAATAATAATAAATAAGGAAATGTAAGCTACTATGCAAACAGATTTTTCATTCAATTTCAAAAAAAAAAAAAAACGAGCATGGTGTTGGTAAGGTTTCAGTCTAAAAGAAACTACTTTAGAGATCAAAAATTAAGATCAAAATATAAAATATAATTTTGCATATAAAATTTTATAGGAGATTGAATTTAGCTTTTGTGTTAAAAGTCGGTGTTATTAATTTTTCATGTAATTGTTAAAGCTTAGCTTTGGTTTAGCTAATAAAAAAATAATAAAAAATTTTTTAATTTTTCTATATGCAACGTCTTGTATTTGATATTACATAAAACTATTTTCATATTACTTTTATATTGAATAATAACAATAATCTTAGAATCAAATCTATATAAATCTATATTTCAAATTAGTTTTCCATACGAGATTTATTTATTATTCCCAATCCAAAAGTTATAACGTTAATTGCTCTTACATTTTCATCTCTGTTGCGATAACTAGAAGTGTTTCTTTATTACACGGAATAGTCAAGTCAAATTATGACCTACTGATAGTGCTTTTGAGAACAGTATTTTCGATTTAAAATTTAATGTTATTTAAATTTTGGGTAAATTCGATTTTAATTTTTTATCATTTTCTTAATATTAAAGATCATATTATTGTGATTTATTAATAGCATTTTTAATATTAAAAATCCTTCGTTCTTCGTGCACATAAACTTAAATAACGAGTCTAAATTATTAAAAATTTGTAAAGGTTTCTCAGTATTAAATAATATATTCAAAAAAATGTGAATTTCTCTAAACATATTAAATTTATGTTGTATAAATTTTTTCTATAGAAATTTATTAACAATTTTTAGTATGTACTAAATTTCTTCAACTACTTTAAGAAATATTAAATTTAGTCATTGAAATTGTATAATAGCCGACTCGTATAATTGAAGTTGTAATTATTGAATCGTATAATTGTGTTATAATTAATTACCAAATTTATCAAACATACGAGTATCACAAAATCTTTTTCATATTTTTGAAAATTGCAATTTAAATTCGACAAATATACTTTGAAATCTCTTTGCACCTATTTCTCTCAGTAACAAATTTTTAAATTGAATCTTACCGTAATATTTTTAGTAGAAACAACATGTCAAAATTAATGACCCTTATTTACCGAATTTCGAATAATTATTTCTAATATCCCTTCCAATATTTAAAAAAAAAAAAAAAGAATTTTTTGTATTTTATCGTAAAATACACTGAAAAATTTTTATTAATTTTCTAAAAATGAAATTTAAAATTTGAATATTTTTTGAGTAAATTCAGAATTAATTTTAGCGAAAACTTTTTGTAAATTTTTCGCTCTTTTTTGGTCAATTCGAAGAATTGATTTTATTATTAACTTTTAATTTAATGTGAATTCCATTCAAAATTCAGGGTGATTTTTTTTTTCTAAATTTTATTTATTGTCTATTTTATTTTATTTAGAATTTTTGTAAAAATTTTCCATATATACTTTTATTTTATTATTTATGATTTAGAATAGAAGTTATGGAATTATTTTAGATAGCCATGGTTAAAAAAAAAAATATTAATTTTTTTTTTTTTGTTCTCTAATTCTTTTTTTCTCATACTCTGTGTTTTTTTTCTCCTTGTTTTGTTTTTCACCCACTTTGATTTTGCAATTTCCTTTTCAACCGTTATATGCACGTACAATTCATATACATATATACATACACTTATACATACAATAATTTATATGTAACATTTTATACGTACATTATTTATAATGTGCATATATGTATGAATGTAGATCTGATTGTACGTTCATTTCAAAGTGCACATCTTTTATAGGTTTTTTTTTGTTTGTGTGCTTTTTTTTTTTGTTTTCGTCTCACTCTTTCATTTTTTAGGATTTTTTTTTGTTGCAATTTTTTTTTTTTCGTTGCCTTATTATTTTTATTATTATTATTATATTATTTTTTTTTATATAGAAATCCTATATAGAATTAAAATTTTACTATCATAGAAACATAACTATGAAAGATAATACTACACAATATTGTCATAGATGTAGCTATACACGTTTATATAGAGAAAAAAATATAGGTAAGAATGCAAAAAAAAAAAAAACAGCAAAATAAAAAAAAACGTTAAAAGTTATATAGAATTTTAGATGCATTGTAAATGAACTAGATTTGATACACTGCAAAAAATTCCTTAGTTAAACTTTATTAATTCGATTAAAATTAAATGGAGTACAAGAATTTGTACTAAAAAATTGTATGTTTTGCCGACGCTAAAATGATTTTTTCTCAAAAAAAAAAAAATTTCTTTTCGTTCAGTTCACAATAAAATTAATTTTTCTCAGTAATTGTTCAAATTACTGCGAAAAAAAATTTTAAATCAAAAACCAGAATTTTAATTATTGATGAATTAAAAAAAAAAAATACCTTAATGATTATTTTATTTTTATTAATAAAAATGAACATTTTTAGTCGTGAATCATAAATTTTTTGGATATTTTTATTTTTCTTTGTTCTGTTTTATTAGTACGCGTAGGTGCTAATTTTAATGAAATTCTACTAGTATTTTGCGTATTAATATAAGTACATTATATAAAATTTTTAAATATAAGTTAAGTATTAAATTATAAATTTATTAACGTAATTGAAATAAATAAGAAAAAAAATCGTTTTTAAAATTAAATGTGGGAAGAAGTTTTAAGAAATTTATACAAATTTTATGCTAAGCATTATATAATAAATTTATATAATTGTATTACGCCAGTCAAATGTGGGCTATTTCTCGACTTTTACATAAATAATTTTTGGCTGTTGTAATGTTATTGTATAGCATTTATATATAGATAGGCTAGGCTTGCTGGCTATAGCATTGTTAACGGGTTCCGATTCAATATTCTGATTTCGCAGTAAACTATTGCAATTGTATACCGAATTATTACATAAAACATGCATTTACTACAATTTTCAGTTTGAAAAAAAAAATAGTAAAAACTTTTATGTGAATTAAAAGCCGTTTAATTGTGATCCTATATTTAGTTTTGATTTTGTCACAAATAATTGCTGTTAAATAGGAATGCTTACTTGCCAAAAATTTATTTTTCCAAAATTTGGGAGCAGAAATTGAAAAAATCTAATTAGTGCTCCAATTTTGGTATGAATTTTTTTAATATAATCTATTTCTCAGGCTAAACTGGGGTATGCTTATACCAGAGTTTTAAAGATCTTAAAAATATTTAACTAAACGTGAATACATGTTGTATGAAGGTTAATCTCAAAAACCAAACGCGATATCACATAAACGTAACAAAATTCAATCTATTATTGAAAAAATATATTGTAACATCTAAAAACTTGACTCGGTTATTTTAATATTATGTAAAAAATTAGTTTTTAACAAGATTTTTAATATTCTAGATACTAATTTAATTAAAAATAAATTTCACATTGTATTTTATTAAAATTAATTTTAAATTCGTTTGAAAGCAAATTCAAATTTTTCTAATTTAAAAGAACAAGTTTTATGATTTTCATCTAAGTTCCATTACCTTATATAGAATCTAACTAAATAGACGAAATAGAAACTGTTCGAATCCAAATTAGAAAAAAAAATTCTAAATAAAATTCTAAAATTCGTATTACAAGATTGAATCAATTATTATTTAACAAAAAAGTAATAAAGAATTTTCTGTGCCGAATACGAGCACATTTTCTTAACTGATCAAATTAATATGCATATACTCGTATTATTACTATATATAGCTAGGCCGTTGATTAAACTAATAACATATATAGAGAGTCTTGTTCAGTATATATTATTATACAAATCAATTAAATATTGACTGATGTATAATTTGCCTATTCAAACACTGACAAGTGTAAAATGTAAAAAAAGAGCAGACTTTAATGATTTCTCTTGGTACTTCCAAATTATCTAAATACTTTTAAAACCATCTCATTATTTCTTATGCAGAAAAAGTGTGTTGCGGAAAATAATTTCAAGTTAATTTTTACTACAGAAATATTTTCCACATATGTGAACATTTTTTTAGAAAATATATTTAGATTATTTTCCAAATATGTAGAACAATGTGGTAATAAAAGTGTGAACGAAATAGAGCACTTTTCCCAGTTGAACCTAGTACATCAAAGGAGTCATTATTACTTTAAAAACCTTATATTAATGGGCAGTATGATAGGATAGAATATATTTATTTTAATAACTTATATCTTATTTTTATGCTTAAGCTTGTTTGAATCATTCCATAACTTTTAAGCTATCACATCAACCATTAGATATAAGTAAATGTTTAATGTAAAGTATAGACATGAGTTTCAGAATTCCGCGAAATTATGTATATGTCACCGGATGTCAAATTAGTATGGCGTAATTTGTGACAGCCAGAATAAGATAATTGCTATGTCATTATTATTCGGTATGTGACATGACTCTTAAAATGGGACCCAATAATTATTACAAATTACTCAAAATTATGCAAAAATTTTTAAAAATAATAAAATAGTATATGTAATTCAAATATATTTACCGTTATTTAATAAATATTTATAATAATGTTATGCACATTACTAAAATATTATTGATGATGTACATTTCACGATTATATAAATAGATAAAGATGAATTTCTGTTGATTGGCGTGCGTATACATTAATCTCATTGATCTAGTTCTTTATTATATTTTGTTCTTATTTTTATAAATCCTTCAAATTTTTTTATAAATAGTTATTTTATGGTTTACAAAGTATATAATATTATTAAAAATATTTAATTTACAATAGTATGCTCTTAGCATATAAAATAGTATACTTGTATGTATAGTATGAAGTTTTGCACATCAGAAAACAATGCTACAAATATTTTTCTTTTTTACAAATTTTTTTTTTTTATTTTTTTAAGTAAATGTTAGATGCACATTGGGAATTATTATGTAATTAGTTGGAGAATAATATTTACAAAAAAAAAAAAATTAATTTTTGGCAAAACAATATTTTTTTTTTTTGTTAAAAATATTATTTACTTGTTTTATTTTTTTTGTCAAAAATTTTTACACAATTTTTATTTTAAAATCTTTTTTTTTTTTTTTGGTTTTTCTTACAGTGTACAATTTTTTAATAATATGTAGTTTTACTTATTTTATTTTTTTTCTCTCTGTGTTTTTTTTTTCTCTTTATTTTATTATTTTTTTTTTGCTTTTTTTCTATTTATCTATATTGCAGTTCTAGTGCAGTTATGTTACGATATAACGTAATTATAGTACAAATTATATATTTTATTATAGATGAATAGCTATTTCACTGCTTTTTCTATATAAAATATGTATATGTATAAGTATTTGCATTATATACGTAAAATATATATATATATATATAATATATAAATAAAATTTTATATAATTAATATATATACGTGTATTGTTATTATTATTTGTATTTATATTTTGTTGGAAAATGTCACATTAATTGGGAAGAGCAAAAACAAAAATAATCATAATAAATAAATAAATAAAGTAAAATTATAATAAATAAAAAAAAAAAATGAACAAGAAAACGCAAAAAATAAAAAAAAAATAAATAAAACTAATCGTTTTTATTTTAATAGGATATCAAGAATTAAAATTAATTATAGAAAATAATTTTTATTTAAAAAGAAAAACAAATTGCTAAACACATAAGAAACGTAAGAAATTTTACATGCGAAATACGATTTAATTTATATACGAAAGAATTATTATGGAAATTTACATTTCGTTCTTATTGCGAATTTTAAATTAATAATAATTAAATTAAAAAATAAATGATTATTTTAATTACTATTGTTATTATTATTAATATTTTTATATATTTGGAATAATTTTCACTTCTGATTTTGACTATATATTTTTGTATATTGAATTATTGGATAAAGTGAAAAAATTTGAAAATAAGAAAAGAAAATTTAAGAAGAAAACACACACCTTTTCTATTATTATTTTTTATATTGTATATATATATATTAGCAAGAATTATAAATCTTTTTTCATTTTAAATTGGATTTTATATAGTATAGTTTTTGCTCTTTATAATTTTTCTTATTAATTGATTTTTAATTAATATTATTATTTTATATATGAAATTATTTTATTTATATTTTTCTGTTTGGATTGAATTATATTTAAATTATTTTATTATTAAATTGTTTTATTAATAAAAATTTTCAGTTTGATTTATTGATTCGTCAAATTTCTCAAAAAAAAAAAAAACAATTTTTTTTCTTATATAATTTCTATTATCCGTATAATGCATTTGCAGTAATAATAATTTAATTTGGTTATATAATTAATTATAAATAATATTAATAAATTTAAATAATTAAATTTATTTTTATTTTATGTTCACAATGTTCGCACCACTTTCATTTAAAATTTAACTTTTTAAATATCTTTACAAATCTATAATATATTTTTATATATAAAAAATTAAAAAAATTTATTGTATTTTATTTGAAATCTTTGTTTTAATAATATTCTTTAAATTATCATTATATATATATAATGTATGTGTATAAATGTAACTGACATATAACCTAATTAAGTTTTAATTAACACGTAGAAAAAAAAAATGTTGTTTTTCTTGTATTTTGTTTTCTGTTTCTTATAAGAGGCAAATTCATATATGAATTTTAGAAAAGAAAAAACGAAAAATTGAATAAAATCAAATTTTAAAATTAATTTGAAATTATGAAAATATTTTTTGTTTTATTACAATCCTTTTTCATATAATTATGCAAATTTAATTTTTTTTCTAATTATTTTCTATTAAAATTTTTATTTTATTTTTATATAAATTTCATTTAAATGTACAATTTAAAATATTTAATATTTATTATGCATTTACACATTTGTAAATTAATTAGGAAAAAGAAACGACTTATTTATCTTTTATTGTTTTATATAAAAAAAAAATTTTTTTTTATTTCAATTAAAACACATTAAAAATATTATTTTATATTTATGTTACTTATAATAATAGAAAATACATTTCATTTACATTTAAAAAAAAAAAAACATGTATACAAATATGTGTGTGTAAGTGTATGTATAAAATTTATGACACTACATACAATTCAAGCGAAAACAATTGAACTTTTTTGCTTGTTACCCGCCTGATTGCTAAATATGTACTGAACACTAAAAGTATCTTTAAATTTACACAGAGAGTACATACTCAAAAATACTATAAAACAAAAATAATATAAAATAATCACAAAAAAAAACAAAAAATTAACAAAAAAAAAAAAAACAATCAAGTAAAACGAAAAAGAAAATAGCAACAACAATAACAACAGCATTATAATACACAGAGAAAAATAAAAAAAAAGAATACTAAAATAAAATAATTTTTGGTTTTTTTTTTCTTACTTCACTTTATGTACATACATTTCTCATCATCATCATCATCATCATCATCAATATCAATATCATTATTATTATCATAATCAATATCATAATCATTATACTAACCTGCGCATGAAATAAAAATAATAATAATAAAATAAACAAAAAAAGAATAATATAAGAAAATTAAAATTGAAGAAGTAAAATAAAAATAAAAATTCAAAAGGCAGAATATCAAAAAAAAACAAAAAAAAACTAAAAGGAAAGAAAATAATAAGTAAAAGAAAACTATTGAGAAAGAATAATAGCAAAAATTGACAGAAAATAACTATTTTCTTGTGTATTAGAGGTACAAACCTACTCTCTCACATTATTAACTGAAATCAATGTATAATAATTAAGTATTACAAATCCGAAAAAAAAAATTCAATGTAATATTAATCGTGTATTTGTAAATTATGAAAATTTTTGAAAAGGATTTGAGAGGATAATTTGGATGTTTACAATGTAGAAATAAAAATGTAGAAATTTAAAACTAATGAAAACACACAAACCAACTAAAAAAAATCACATTTAATTTTGGTGAGCGGAAATTAATCGCAATACTAATGTAATTTTTTTTCGCTTAGTTGGGCAATTCTTATCTGTGGGAGACAATTATTTTTATATTTTAATGTAATTTTGTATGTTCTTTCCTTTAAAACATTTTTGAAATAATGACATGTGTTATGAGAACAACCAGAAAAGGATATTGGAAAATTACTAAAATAGCGATTTCAAAATTTACGACGGACAAATAAGATCTCATTTTCTAATTGATTATGTAAAATTTAATTAAGTTGTAATTGAGTTAAAATTTACATATAGAAAAAAAAATAAATTACATTCTTTGAAATCAATATGAAATCAATTAAATTTAAACAAAATGAATCACCTTGTACTACTTAAAATTTTAAGTAATTTCAATATTATATATTTAGTTCTTTTTTTTTTTAGTTATTTCGCTTCTAATATTATTTGTATAAGATTCTTTTCTACACTTAATAATTTTTTTTTTTTTGGTTATTTCTTCTCCTTATATATTTTCTTCAATTTTTACTTTATTTATTTTTTCGTAATTTTTTTTTTCTTTGTTTATTTCTATTATTCATTTCATACCTTCTTAAATTTAACCAATCGCTCATTCAATGCAATTATACTAAATACCAATTATCGTTATTTTTAAGAGAAAGAGAGAGAATAATAATAAATATAAACTAACAAAATATAAAAAAGAATAATATAAAATTCAATTGTAAAATAATTTTATGTAAGAGAAAAAAAAATATTAATAAGAATGAGAGTGAAAAGAGAGAGAATAAAGAATTGAAAGAATAATAAAAATTTATTTGAAATTAAAAATACGCAAATAATGCAATGCAACAAAAAAGAAAAACAATAAAAAACCTCATGGTCTTTATTTCTTCAAACCAATACCAATACAATTTATATATTTAATTACCTATATAACTGATTTCTCTCACAATAAATATTGTGAAAAAGGAATAAATATTCTCATTTGATTTCTCTTATATTTCTTATTTTCTCTAAATTCTCTCTTATTAGAAAAGGCGTATCAAAACAAAAAATGATAAAAAATATTTATATAGCTAGATGCCGGTATTTTTAATGTAAATGTATTGGTTTTTTTTTGTTTTTACGTAAATATTATGTGTGTGTGTATATAATATATAATTTTAAATTTATAATAAATAATAATATGTACTTACGTTTATATTTTGTTTGATATATTATGAATTAGATTATACCATGTACCTATCACTAGCTAGCCTTCACATATGGTGTTTTACATACTCACAATTTATTTTAGTTGATTATTCAATGTAATAGATATTTTACTATAAGTACAAGTCATATACATGTGTTGTTTTTGCTTTATTTAATTTGAATCGGAGTATGGTTATGGATTACTTTTCAATCCACGTGAAAAAAAAATAAGGGAAAAAAGAATTTCATAGTATAGAAGTTTATTTTATTTTCGTTGAGAGAAATTTAATAAAAATTGAGAGAAATTTTTTTTTTTTTTTAGAAATATGAGCGTTATATTTTATACAATATTTATGTACGAGTATGTTGTATGATTGAGTTGGAAATCAGGATATTTTGATTTTTTTGAACAGGTTCGCATTGTTCGTTACTGTTAGATGAATAGATTTTTTTTTTTAACTTTTTTATAATGTTTTATATAATTAAAATTGTGATTAAAACACCAGTTCTTCAAGGTATTCGAGATCAAATCCTGGTCAGGTCACTATATAAAAGAATTACATTCAGCAGTATATGGTTTAGTTAGTTAGTTACAGAGGAGATACGATATTCTCCCAAGAAACGTGTCCTCCTCCTCCACATCAGAGCTTAATTATATGGCTTAGTATGCAGACTAAAGAATTACATGTAACGTACATACATATATATGTAATTAAAATTGGTAAATTGATTAAGAATAGAAAACTTACAATGTTTTCTTAAATATTTCAACAATATTGCATTCATTCTTTTGTATTGCTATACTAATTATTAAAGAAAACAAAAATTCCTTCAAAACTAAAACAAGATTATTTAGTTACTAGTATACGAGTAAAACTTATTATCCGTACGTAGACTTCCTTAATATAATAAGGTTTCCATATTTGAAATTTTTTAGATTTAGATCATTATTATTGACCGATTTTCATAAAATGATTGGACGAGAAATAAAATTATATTTAATTAAATATTTAAAAAATATTGAAAAATATTAAAATATTTGCTTTCTTAAAAAAGTTTTAAATTCTAATTTACAAAATCGAATCAAAAAATTTATTTCATTCTTATAACGTATAAGTTTCAAGAAAAAGGATATTATTCCCCCATAACACATTATTTTAACGCATATCAACTATATCAAATATGTGGTCAAGCTTCATGTCGTGTCATCTATCTTTCAATACCCTTACACTCATTTTATTTTTTTAAACTCAATAGGTATAAAAAAGTGAAGAAAAGAAAAGTAATCATTATTTTTACATTTTTATTTTATTGTTTCTAAATTTCTAAACTACATTATTGACTCTCTCTCTCTTAAACCATTAAAATCTCAAATTTTTCTAAACTCTTAAATATTATTATAATTTAGAAATAGTTTTATCCTCTACTTCAATTATCATTACATATTGTATTTGATGTTGTATCTTTTCTCTCTCTCTCTCTTTCTCTCTTTCTATACTACTATGTACTATTATAAATTTTTACTCACTTGACTAGCCGCAAATATTATATTATTGCTTATATTTTTATTATTTATTGTAATTTGAAATGTGGATACAGAGTGTTTACCACACTCAAAACGCAAAACACAACGCAAAAAACGCAAAGCCCAATATTATATTAAAATTTATTGTGAAAGAAAATTTAATGAAATAAAATGTAAAAAGAAAATAAATTAAAAGAAGAACAGAAAAACAAAGAAAATTTGAAATATTTTTTTATTACCGTATGTTTTTAATAGATCTGTTTTGTTATTGTTTTTTGTTTTTACGTAAATTTTGCGTTAGTGTGTGTGTGTGTGAATAAAAATGAGAAAAATGCCAATTCAATACATTTGGATAACATGTAGTTTTTTTTTTTTCTTTTTTATGTTTGTTTTTTTTTTTTTTGTATTTTAC